GGCGAGCGAGGCGGCGACGGCGAGGTAGAGCTCGTTGGCGATGGCGTTGACGTACTTGCGGTCCTTGCTCCAGTAGATGCCGCCGTTGCAGTTGGTGTTTCCGCCGCCCTGCATGTCGGCAAAGATGCGCTTGGCCATGTCGAGATAGTCCTGATCGGTCGTGATGTCGTACGCTCGGATGAGGCCGAGCGCCCACCAGCCCTCGTCGTCGTAGAAGTCGTTGATGAAGTTTGGGAAGCCCTGGGCGCTCATCTGGCGACCCTTGATGGTTGGGTAGTCACGCTTGGTGATGGCGTAGGAGGACGTGACGAGGCCGGCTGCGTTCATGGACTTGGAGACGGAGGCCGTGGTCTTTTGGGCCTGGTTGAAGGTGTTTCTGAGGATGCCGCCGATGTTGAGCTGGTTGGCAGCGTCGCGGTTGAGGTCTGCGAAGTCGGCCAGGGTTGTGAAGGCGTTGGCGCTGTTCCACCAGGCATTATCCCAAAGACCGGTGCTGACGCTGTACCATGTATTCTGGAGGACGTTGATAGAGGAGACGGCGTTGCTGGTGTAAGAGGCGGCGTCTGCCCTCTCGGCGATGGGGCGGGTAGACATGAGGAAGACTACGCGAGCAGCCAAGCTGCCGATGTTGGCGACCATGTTGGCGATTATTAAGTATATAGAAGCGAGCACTGAGTGGAAGCCGTATTGTGATATTTCTCCTTCTCGTCTGGTGTTTGAAGAGTGCGAGCGGAGGAGGAGGACGATATAAGCATTAGCTGCAATGGCGAGAACAATGAGAAGCCAACACCGGGGGAGGATGGCCGGGATGTTAAATATATCAGGAGCGGGCGAGGTCTTCGGTCCATGTGCCCCTTGTCCAGCTTCCCTCCGAACAGGTGGACCGGCACAGCAACAATGGAGCGGACGAGGGTGCGGGTAGGATGGCGGGTACGGACAAGACGAGGATGGGGAGGGCGAGCGATAGTGATCCTTGACGCCAATCTTTTGGGCGCAGGGTGTCGGTCGAGGAGGTGGGAGGGCAGAGCTGGACGGCGTGGAGCTGAAGCCGGATTTGGAAGTGATGATGGAGCAGGAAGATTGGTTGGAGTGACAGCAGGAAGAAGCAGAGTAGAGGTCAGCAGGAGCAAGGTCGAGTTGAGGATGAGGAGCATGGGGAAGGGCAGAGGATAAGCAGGAGCAGGCGCAGGCGCAGCAGCTCATGGCAGGTTGTGAATCCTCCAGGTCCTGCTGTGGTGACAACAGCGCCATGGTCTTCTTTGGCGGTGCCTTTTCTCGCAGCCTAGAAACAAGCACAAAACAAAACAAGGCTTCATCTGAAGTCGGCATCAGGAGCTGGCTCCTCGTCGAGCCAGCGCATCGCATGGCGCTGGCTGCGCCCTGACAGGGGCCACCTGGAGAGCCAGGCCGAAGATCACAGTCAGGGGTTGGTCGAGGTGGTGTCCCTGGGCCTGGTTCTGGGTCTGGGTCATGGGTCTTTGGAGCAGCCAGAGGAGGATGGGATGAGATCACGGCGAGAAGGGTAAAGCGCGAAGGCGGGAACGTCTCTTCTGTGCGGCAAGAAGGGTTCCTTAGTCTCAAGTGACAGTCAGAGCTGAGCTGCGAGAGAGCAGTAGAAGGGAGAGAGAGGGGCGTGTAACAGGACCAGTGACAATGTCAGCACTGAATACGACGGAACACAGATACCAAGAGAAGAGAGAGAGAGAGAGAGATGCTGGTCCTGGTCTCTGCTCCGGTAAGCGCCGTCGTTCAATGGGAGGACTAGGACTCAGAAGACAGGAGGCAAGCAAAGGCGACAAGACGACGAGGGTTGGCGAGGAGAGGAGCTTGGGTTCTTGGAAAGCTGGGCCTGGGGCGTTGAATGGTGTTTCAGACAAGATTGTACGTTATGCTGTGTGTTGGCCCGAGGTGTGCTATGTACCTGCCTCAAGGAATACGTACCCGTGGACCGCTTATCGGGGCGATAAGCTGAGGTGGGTGCCCCAGGAGGTCTGACGAACCGAACAAACCCAAAGATCGGTATCCGGAGCTTATCCACGGGATATGGATGCTATGGCCAGAGGCTTAAAGGGCCCCTCTGGGCTGAGGGTCCACTACGAGTGCCGCGGTCAGCCCCTAACAGGGGGGGCTGCCTTCCTCAAGGAGGTAGGTACCTACGTACCTCACCTACCCCTGTGTACCCAGGCACCTAAGTACCTTAGTGCACGCACTGCCACGTGCGGGTCCATCCCTCGTCCCTCTTCTGGTCCAGCCATCTGAGGCTGCTCTCGTTAGAAGGGACGTATCTTTGCTTCTGCTTCTTTCCCCCAATGTTACACTCGCAACCTTCCTTGCCTCTGGCTGAAAAGATGCCTTCAAAACTACCTAGGAAGAGGGCGCCTGGTCACACACTCTCAAATCCGACTGCCGTGATCCCTTCCCATGATCCAGGCCTTCTGGTCGTTATTCCCGTCATCGTACAGCATCGCAGCCTCGCCCACGTCTCTCATCACCTAATGGACGTGTCCCTAACGTAGCATCGTCCTGGGATCATCAACCTTGTGGCCAGCGACTGGTCGCTGAACCCAAGCCGCAGACCGACTATTGGCATCGGGCATGACGTTTGTGATTCAACGGACCGCCAGCTTGACTCGTCGACCTGACTGACTACTGTCCTGCACTGCACTGTCACTCAACAAAGTCCCTTTGACATGCATACCAATACCAGTCACTCGTTACGATGTTGCAGGGCAAACTCGGCAAACACACAAGGACAAGGACGAGGCCGCCACCCCAAGAACACACCAAGAACACAAGAACATTCCAAGAACCATGGCCCCGGCGTCCATGTCTCCAATTCGACGCTTGACAGCAGCTTATTTCCCACGGCAGCGGCGCAGGCGGCTGTTCTCAATGCGGTGGACCCCTCCCTTGCTGGATGGAGCTGCCTCTGGAGCTCGGGAAGGAAAGAATTTTTCCTTTCTTCTTCTCCTGAATGTCGGGGTCGAGACACTGCCAGGGCTCGCTTTGTTTCGAGTAGCCGAACAAAATTACCTCGACATGCGGAACGCCAAAATGCTGCCCGCAAAGACACCAGGAGCATCAGTGCCATCCCGGCGCCGGGAGGTGGCTGACAGTCTTTCCCCTCTCTCTCGGCGGGGTGGAGGGGCCGCTCCTTGTCTTGCCCGGTATCTCCTCGCACCGTGAGCATGTCATCTCAAAAAGGACTGCGCTTTTTTGCTCGTCTGCGCTCCTGATCGTCATTGCATCGCAGGCGACTCCAGTCCATCTCAGCATCGCAGCTGCTCAGCTTATTTTCCGAATCATCGGCCTGGACGTGGCGGGGTTGCAGCACAGACAGGCAGCCTGGTGACTCCAACAAGGACGGCGGGCGATGCGATGTTACGGCGTCGAAGATCACGAATTAGCCTCAATGGAACCGTGACCCTGTCTTGTGGCCGGCGATCTCAAGCGACAATGGCACCTCCACTCCAAAGGGGGAATCCACCATTTACTCGCCTTCGACTGGGTTCCCACGCCGCAAAAATTGAATCTATTCGATGGATTTGCCGCTCAGCTTCCTCCAGGCGTCCCAGGAAGCAAACAGCCCAACCTTGTTCACCGCTGGTCCGCCATGACGATATCTGATGCTATTCTAGTCAGCACACATACTTACATCACGGAGCGAAGGATTTCGCGGGGATGGTTCCACGGGCCAACACTATTGATCAAGCAAGGCACAGAGAGACATTGATGCGCCGCACCAGCCTCACCCGTCGTTGCCGTTGATCTATTGTCCATTAGGGCCAGGCACGTATCCAATCGTCTGCAGACGGGGCAGCCCTACAGAACACTGGCCGTCATCTTGGGCTTTCCGGGACAGACGTGGACGCCGATCCGTTGCCGGGAGCGGCCTAGCTGCTGCTGACTGCTCACTAAACCTTGGTAACTGCATGTCTAGCCAGCTCAGCAAAGCACGGCATGTCATGTCGCGGCACAGCAGCAGCGGCAGAGCAGACGCAGCAGCAAACGACTACACAGCACGGTTAATCCTACGACTGCCTGCTGTCCTCCTGCACCTAGCAACTTACATGCATACGGGCGGTGCTCGACGCTGCAAAATGCGTGGCTCCCATACGCCCAGCCAAGACAAAATCTTCCGACCGCAAGCCTCAGCTCTTGCTTGTCAACGCAGCGGCTAAACCACATGACGAAACCTTCTTTGACGTTCGGGCTCGCATTTCTGAGGCGGGTTTGCGCAACAATCGCCGTTCAAGGACTCAGCCGGGTTTCCGAGTGTGACCGTACGGTCTCTGCCCCAAGGCCGGCCCTCACACCCGGCCGAGACCAGCGAGAGTCAGTCTCTGTGTGATTCCGACGCCAACAAAACACCTCGAAACCAAAGAGACTATTAGCAAAAAAAGTCACTCGAGGTGACACGCCGCATCCCGTCCACTTACTCCATACCAACGCGCAATAGCTTGCGAGGCGTTGTGCAATATTGCTTCAATATCGAATATTGCAGCCACCGCCACTGCCCAGAAAAGATCCATATTGAAATGTCGATAAGTTGAAACATTGGATTCCTTTTTTTTTTTTTTTTTCTGGGTATGCAATCAGCAGCATGTGCAAAAATCCCACTTGTATGCGACAGCCAAAGTATGAACCAGATCACAAGCCAAAACAGACCCCTGGGCCGGACCTCCTGGAAACACATCAACGCGTCTTTGGTGTTCCGGTCGGGCTTATCGCAGACGCAGCTCGCAGCGTAACGCGACTTGGCCGTATCACTCGTTGCCTTTGACAATCGTGAAACAGACGTCGATCCGATCGCACATCAAAAGTCACTTTGTCTCTTACCTTGGTCACACCTCCGGAGAAGTCCCGGGTCCCCGGCACGCGCGAAACATCATCACATACAACGTTTCCCGGAAAAAGCAAATGTGTCTCTGATTGAACTTTTTTTTCGGTTCTCATTAACGATTAATAGATCTCCCGCGTTCCCATGCCTAGCTTAGTCCCTACATGATCTCGAGACGCAGCGCATCGTACTGCACGTAGATGGCCTCCGTGAGAACGGCGCTCTCGTAGTCCGTGGCGCCGTAGGGCAGGCTCAGGACGATCTCGTTCTCGCCCGCCTTTAGCAGCTTCGAGTCGAAGACGAACTTGTTGGCGACGTTGTAGCAGATGACGGCCGACCGCACGGCGCACGAGCTGCTCTGGTGGTACGGGATCACCCACGGCTCCAGGTCCTTGCCGTTGACGTTGACCGTGTACTTGAGGTTCGAGTGCGGCTCGCTGGCGTTGAAGACGTCCGTGTTGCCCGCCGCCGTCTTCGCGCCCGCGAGCTGCACCGTGAAGGTAGCGTACCGCTTGCGCTCCACCTGCGCCTGCTCGAGGTCGAACGCGAGCGTCCAGTTGTTCACGTTGCCGTCGCCGAGGTACATCTCCGGCCGGAGCGAGTTGCCCTTGCCGCCGAACACCGCCCAGTGCACGTAGTTGAGGTCCGTGGCGACGTCGTCCTCGCCCACCTTGAACCGCACGCCCTCGGGGAACTCGGTCGGGAAGTCGTACCGCGCCCAGTAGATGCGGTACTCCTCCGGGTGCAGCGGCTTCGTGGCGTCGCGTGCGTAGCCGTGACGGTACTCGCCGGAGCTCTTGTCCGGCGTGCCGATGCGGAAGACCTCCGTGCCGGCCATCTCCTCGCGCCAGCGCGCGTGCGTGGTGTGCACCTCGCCCGCGACGACGGCGACGTCGTCCTTGACGTACTGCCCGAAGACGCCGTCGGCATAGATGGTCAGGCGGTAGGTGCCCTCCTTGACGCGCGGGATGGTTGCGTAGCCGTCGGCGTCGACGTCGGCCCAGTACTGGTAAGCCTTGGTGTCGAAGACGTTGTCCTGGAAGTCAACGCCGTTCTGCGCGAGCACGGCGATGGGCTTGGACGCGCCCTGCGGGAGGTCGACGTGCAGCTTCCAGGTGGTGCGGCCGGCGGAGGGGACGTAGTTGGGCACGAGGTGGGCGATGTCGTCGTAGAAGGCGGCGTTCCACTCGGGGTCGGCGAGCTTGGCGGCCTCGGCGTGCAGCTCGAGGATGTCGGTGCCGGCGGGGGCGCGGTTGAAGTGGTAGTACTGGGGGCCGAAGGTGCGGTCGAAGCCGTTTGTGATGTTGGGGGTCTGGTCGCCGTGGTGGTTGGAGGAGATGTAGTTGTAGACGATGCCGTCGACGGTCAGGTCCGAGTGCAGGGGCCCGCCGAAGTAGGTGTCGCGCGTGTTGAAGACCATCCAGGCGCCGAAGGTGGAGTTGTCGGCCGTCTTGGAGCCGTCGGCGAACATGCCGTAGGCGTCGATGTCGCGCCAGGTGTCCTGGAAGGTGTACTTTGTGAACCAGTCGGCCTCCTGCTGGACGTAGGGGTCGTTGGGGGTGTTGCCGAGGTACCAGGTGGCGTCCTGGACGACGACCTGCTTGGCGACGGCGTCCTTGGACGGCAGGGGCGCGTAGTGCTCGCGGTTGGTCAGGAGGTGCGTCCACATGGGGTCGTTGGGGCGGAAGAGGGTGCGCAGCTCCTGCAGGTTGCGCAGGAAGGGGGCGGTCTCGTTGTGGTAGGCGACGCGGGAGAACATGTGCAGGCCGGTCTCGCCCTCGCGGAGGAACCAGTACTGCTCGAGCAGCTGGCCGGTGGAGGCGTAGGTGTCGGACATGCGGACGCCGCCGTAGGGGACGCCGGCGGAGTCGGTGCCGTTGTAGAGCTCGAAGACGGGGGCGACGGAGCCGGGGGTCCAGAAGCCCGCGGGGGTGCAGTAGCAGTCGAGGTAGGGGCCCTGGCCGGTGGCGCCGGAGGCCGTGCCGAGGAGGTTGACGCCGTCGAGGGTGAGCTCGACGATGGAGCCGCCGGGCTTGGCGATGGCGGCGCGGAGGCGGTCGTTGGCGATGATGAGGCGGTTGGAGGTCTCGGTTGCGTTGAGGAGGGCGTTCGTCGTCGCTGAGAACGCGGACATGGCGAGCCCGAGGCCTGCGCGGCGGAGGGTGGAGGGCCGCATCTCGTGAGTATGTGTGTGTGTGTTCACACGACTGTTTGACGGAGAAGGAAGGGGACGGCTCGACTCGTCGGACGTCGGGTGTCTACCACAACTTCGAGAGCCGGTGGGAGCGGCGAGCGTGAGGGCTTCGTTTATATACTGAAGATCACCCGCGCCTCTGGGAAACGGTCTGCAAGTCTCTTGGCCCTCGGGCGACTCATCTCCGTGTCGTCATTTCCTGGGACCCAGGGGAGAGATTTCCCCCGCACCCCAGAGAGAGGGAGAGGTTGGGGAAAGCGGTAGAAACATGGGGGTGTTCGTCTGGTCTACCTACCTACCACCGCTTGTTGCCCTCGTGGGTTGACAGACAGGGGCGGCCATGCCTGCGTGGAGAAATGAGCTCTACTCTCCCGCGGAACGGCGGGCAGATTGTGAAAATTCGACGGTGGTCATTCGCCAATTGGGGCATGGGTTGGTCCATCTCTTAGACTGGCGAAGCGGGGACCCCGCCTCTTGGGAGATGAGTGTCCGGGGAACACCTGCACAAGCGTTGGCTTCTCCGCACGCACACGAGCTGTTTGTTTTGGGGGCAGCTGGGGTTTCCCCGGGCCACTTCGGGGCATCACGCACCGAGCATGCCACAAGCGCTAGCGAGTAAAGGGAAAAAGCCAGATAGAGAGCGGTCTCTTGGAAACATGCTCCTTTCTACGGTGTGGGGTATGTATCCGTAATGTGACCTACCTACGTACGTTGCAGTGCGTTGCCGTCTTGCCCGAGTCTTTGGGCTTTTGGCGTCGCGTCGGTGTAACATAGTATCGAAGGGCTGCGGGAGAATTTCCCACGTATGGGGACCGGGGGGTTCCGTTGGTAATGACGCGTTGGTTTGGTTGACTGTATTGCCGGGGATGCTGTTGATGTCATTAGATGATGTGAGCGGGTTTTCGGCATTGGAGGGATTGAAGTTTTGGTGTGCGCGGTTTGGACCATGACATTGAAAAAGAGCGCAAGAGCAGGCAGGGCCTCTTAGTTGCGTCTTACTCTTAAGACGAATTGAGGATAAGTGCTGTTGCCAAGCGGGGATCTCGACAACGTGGTGGGCTCGGTAAGTTCATGAGAGTTGGGTTTTGACATGGTTGACCGGTTGACCGGTTGACCAATTTCACGATTCTGGAAACAGAAACTGGGTATTCGAAGACATAGCCGTCAGATGAAACCCAAACACATAGTCCCACACGTGTGTATATCTTCCCGTCGGTACGATTTCAAACAAATCTCGTTGGTGGCGTTTCCTTATGAGCATCACTTTCCCCAGAATATGGAAACCTCAGCCGATGTTTTGTGCCTGAACCAAATCACGAGAGCAATATCTTTCTATACGTGGATAGATTTGATCCATAATTTCTATCTCAGCCTCCGTCTACGCTGTATCGGCTGAGTTAACGCATTCAAGGTTCATCCACCACATCCAAGAAGTTTCCATCGCTTCAAACTGTCCGATTCGCTGCGTCTAGCCCGGTGGGAGTAATAGTCCATGCCCAAGGTTTAACACAGCGATGCTTGACATTTCACATCAAAGTATCCAACATGAGGCGTCGCAGATGCGTCTGACGGTTTATGAGGAGGGTCCTAAACCGAATGGAGAACGACGCAGACATAGCCTCATCTTCTTTCATAAATCCGTTCACCACAGCCTTCGAGAGTCCTAAGACGAGCTGCAAGGTGTCAAACGAACGTGAAAGTGGAGTGTGTTTATTAAACGACCCGTTGCTACGAGCTGAGGTCATGGGCCGAAGCAGAAGTTGTGATTGTGCGGCTTCAACATGTCCGAAGCCAGCGGCCCATACCCGTCTGATCCCGGCTTCTCACTCTCCAGAATATCCGAGAAAACCTCTCGTGCCTGGGCACACAATGTCGGTATGTTGCTCAACAGCCCCTGGGCCAGATGTGTCCATTCCGCGACACCCGAGAGCTTGAGCCGCAGCGTCTGCCAGCACAGTAAACCAGGTCAGCCATTGTAAACACACAGAAACCCTCAAATAGCAAGTCCGAACTTTGGAGAACTCACCTCAAGCTGCTCCCTCACGTTCTCGTCTTCGTCCAGAGGCCTCGTGAGCCTGATCGTGCGTTGCGTGTGCACGGCGTACTTTGCAATCTTGAAGAACTTGGAGCAGCCGTCCAACAGGTTCCGGACGTCGCAGCCTTCTTCCCGGAGCCCTGCGAGAAACTGCACGAATTGGCCGAGGACCCTGACGTTGGCGTGCGCTTCCGCGCCTGTGGACTCTTCGAGGGCGGACCAGAGCAGGATCAGGCACGATGCAACCGGGTAGCAAATCATAGCCCTTGACGTATTGATCTTAGTTGACCGGCATAAAAGAACGGTCGTCATGGACCAGAAGGACACTTACCATAGATGTACGAATGAATGCGGAGGCGTCACCCGTAGAGTCTCAACCGTAGCACGGGCAGCCGCTGTGCACTTTTCATACGCGTCTTGCACATTCGGGCAAGAACCCTGGCTGGCCTCCCAGCTGGGGTTCTGGCAGAGCGTCAGGCTGTGGCTTGAAACGCTCTTGAGGCGGGCCAGGTTCGTGTGGATCTTGATCAAGGCATCAAAATAGTAAATGTGCAGCAACACAACGTGCGTCTCGAGTTCCCTGTCATGCACGACTGCTGTGAGTTTGGGTCTCAAGTGTTCGGGAAACGAGTCCCTCCACGCTTCCAGCTCGGCACTTAAAGCCAGGACGGCCGCCTGGTGGTGTGGTCCAGCCTGGGTTTTGATACTGTCGATGGAAAGCTGATCGTGGATCTTGTACCTTATTCGCGACAGCTCTGCCAGCTTTCTGACGTAGCACTGCGTTTTCTCTGCGCAGGTAATGCCTATTGCGTGGTTGAAAGAGGCCAGGCCCTCGTCTGGAAGGTCCGCGTTCATCTGGCCTAGGTTGAAAGACGGCGAGATGCCGAACCGGACTGTCATTTCCGTGTCGACGATGAAAGCGACCCAGCACGCGCGCCGATGCTGCCTCGACTGTGCAGCGTCTAGCTTGGTATACGCCTCCCTCCTATGCAGGCCCATCATCTGCGCCGTCCTAGCAGCAGAAGACGCCACCTGCAACGTTGTTCTGGCGTCTGTCGTCCCCAAAAGGAACGTGGCCATGGTCAGCATTGCTTCAACCGTCGACACGCCCCCTCCGGAGATGAGCAGCTCCGGGAATACGGAGAAGGCGTTCTTGAAGTAGCCCCAGCTCATGGGCGACATGTCCTCGAAGGAGTCGTTCGCCGTCCTCCACTGAACCGCCGTGGCGAACAGGGCGTTGATGATGGCCCACCGGGCGGGATCGTCGATGGCGGTCTTCTCGCGGGTGCCGCCTGTGTACTGCTGCTCGGCGAGCTCCAGGAAGTGCTTGCGGGTGATTGTCGGACAGAACAGTTGGATGTCCTCGATGACGGCTTGCTCTAGGTCGAGGAGGTACTCTGGAGGAGGGAAGCTCGTGAACGCTCTCCTCTTGAAGGGGGAGTGGTCCATGCGTGATTCCACGTCGCTTCTGATGGCGCGCATCGTGGATAGCAGCTGGGGTCCCGAGAAGAGATCTCGCAGTGGCGGGAAGCGAGAAGGCAGGCTACTCGCTGGGAGAGGGTCCCGGGACGAGTTGGCGAGGTCATCATGGGCAGGTCTGTCTGCGTCCTTGGCTGTATCGTCAAGACTTGCTGTCACAGGTGGTAGAGTGGCTTCATTGGGATTAGCAAGGTGTTTCTGGACAACGCGTGTGTAAGTGCACCAACCTTCTGAAGGAAGTTGAGTCCGACCGGGACCACTGCTTGATGCTCCTCCATCGGTGACGTGAAGTTGCGCCATCCGCTCCAACGATGTCTCTATGGCTCTCACCTTTGCTTCCGCATCAACAGCGGGTTTATTTCTCCACAGAAAGTTAGCGTCTGACTCTTTACGCAGGGTACGGTGACGGACTTCTTCCCTGGACCACGGCGTCTTCGTTGCGTGTAGACACACCGTAGACCAAGCCTGGTGCAGAGCCCGCACGTCGGCTCGCCGCCATCGCATCTTCTCTTGCGTGATTGACAGTGTAGGCATGCCTGTGGCCGAGATTAGAGACCCTCCAACAAATGCATCCGCCCGGGCTTACACTTACACTGTAGATCCGCTTCTTGGGGGGCTCCTCCGCATCCTCAACGGCGGCGGCATCATCCGCGGCACTAGCCATATTCGTACGGTCAGTGGATTCGACACAGACGCAAAGATTGCAGCAAAGGATCCGCGAGTTTGGATGAAAGGAGTCCGCTGAGGTCAGTCGTGCGAGGCAAGCGGCTATGTAAGTGGTGAGCGGGAGCAAATTTAGTAAGCAATCTGCATCCGCCCAGCTTACCCCAACCCGCCGTCCCGCCCATGTCAAGGCCGGAAACGGCTTAGATCTCTGACGTTCATTGGTCGGCGGGATCAAAGGCCAGGCGGGCGGAATCAAATCCCCGCCAGCTTCACATGGGGCCCCTTGTCTTCTCCAGCGCAGAATGTCTCCCCCTCGGGTTTGCTGCGATGGCGCGATGGGCGGGAGCAAAAGTCAGTCGAACTCTTTCCTGGATGGAACTAAACACCACGGGATTCGAAATCCCATAGCATGAACTTGTAGAAGCTGGGCTGAATAATATTGCAGAATTTCGAAACCCTCAAAGTCCCACTCCATGACTGGGAGGCGTACTTACAGAATCACTCGGTTGGTATAATACGGGACTGTCAACCCAGGAAACAATGAATGGATCATCGCCAGCATTCACTTCATCATCACAGCAACTAACATCAAACCACACTTTTATCACTTTTATCACTTCAGTGATCGTCAACCGTCAAGATGAGCACCTACCAGAACGTTGCCCTCCTCGGTGTAAGTCCCCATGGTCTAAAAATAAGTACACGCAAATCGCCTGACATGCACCTCTACACAGAAAGGATTTCTCGGATCCGCAATTCTCACGGAGCTCGTCAACGCCGGACTCACAGTCACCGTCCTCGGCCGCTCCGAGTCCGCCAAGGATGGTCTTCCATCGGGCGTCAAATTCGCGACGGTAGACTACTCTTCCGTCGACGACCTCGCCGCCGCCCTCCGCGGCCAGGACGCAGTCGTCTCCACCGTCAGCAAAGGCGGTCTCCTCACGCAGAAGACAGTCATCGACGCCAGCATCAAGGCCGGCGTGAAGCGCTACATCCCCTCGGACTGGGGCACCTTCACCACCGACCCCAAGGCCCAGCGCGAGCTCGTCCCGGTGCTGGGCCCCATGCTCGACGTCCAGAGGTACCTCGCCGAGAAGGCCCGCACCGGTGAGATCGAGCACACCATCTTCTCCGTCGGGGCGTTCCTCGACCTCCTGACCACGGTCCCCGTCGCGTTCGACTACGCGAACAAGACCGTCGAGCTCTGGGACGGCGGCCGCCACCGTCTGAGCACCACCAGCGTCTCCTCCATCGGCAAGGCGGTGGCGGGTGCCTTGAAGAACCCCGGAGCGACCAAGAACCGTAATATCAAGGTCCACGAGCTGGTGGTGACCCAGAGGCAGCTGTACGAACTGGCCAAGAAGTACTCGCCGCCGGGCACTGAGTGGAAGGAGATTGAGCTGGAGGGAGAGGCCGCGTTCGCTGAGGCCCTGAATGGTGTGAAGGAGGACCCCTACAACGAGGGCAAAATCATGGGTGCCATCAAGGCTGGGGTCTTGAGTGGCCGCTACGAATCTGCGTATGAGCAAGTCGACAACGAACTCGTGGGTGTGCCTTTCCTGACTGAGGTGGATTTGGAGGCCAGGTTCGCGGCGGTTTACAAGTCCTGAACAGGCGTTGGATATTGGCCTATTCTTGGTTATGTAGCGCTCAAAGGGCACGGAGTTAGACTTTAGCATGCTGTAAATAACGTGCTTCGACAAAGAATATCATTGAAAAACCAATTAACCGGTTCTGTCCGTATCAAAGTCTCTGTCCGTTTACAAACCAATGGGCTCGTTAGTCAGATCATTGCGGCTAAACGACAGAAGCAGTACCACCTTCCGTTGTAAAGCACCGTTTACACTTCTGCGGACGCATCCAGGGGCAGATAGGGGGCGAGCCACGATAACTTGAGAACACCACGGAGCAACGCATCCGGCCTCATGTCTCGTCTAACAGAGTCCAAATCCAGGCCAGACTGGTCCTTGCTTTCGCACCATACAGGCCAAGACTGCTAAATTGCCATCTGCCCATCCATCGCAGTCCACGAGGACGCTCCAACAGCCTAAAACACCCGCTGGCCGCATCGGCAACTCAAGGATCCCGTCGGCATGCCGAGTGCACTAACACCACCCCATGCGCGGAAGTCTAGACCGCAAGTTTCACGAACATGCGGAATCACACCCTCCACCTCCCACGGGAATGCCAAGGCCATGACGAGATGCACCAAGCCGCGTAATCTGGATATACATGAAAATACCCTGTTCACCTGCAAAACGACTCTGGATCAGGAAAGCCAGCCCTGACATACAAGAACATCAACCGCTCCATGCCGTTTTTTTCGCCCCCGAGCATTTCACCGATCCAAGACTTGAAGATGATTCCCATTATAGCATCCCCCTCCGGCCCCAACGCCCGCTCCGAGTCCCCCTCCTGCTCCAGGCGCATCTCGTCACATCTCCGACAGGGCCAAATCTATACACACCCTGCGTGGATCTCCATGGCGGAACCATCCGTTGGAAGGGAAGAATCGTACGCATGGAAAAAGAATACTCCCTTCCAAGGACGGCGACGGGCATGTTTACCTCGGCAACTCATCTTCAGCATCGCGGACGCCCTTCCGATGCGCCTTATCACACCCAACCCCTCAAGATCTACGCGTCACCGATGGCATCCGACCAGGCCTGGACTCCTCCTGAAAGCCCAGCTCGAGGAAACACTTTGTCTCCTCCTGACAGCTGCGCTAACATCTTGAAGGAAAATCAAGATTCGGAATCCCAGGCTTGAGCACCTGCACAATTGCCATTTTAGGAAACCAGTTCACTAGTCAGGGGAACTTGAACATGGCCGTGATGCAAGCCCGTTTTGCATCAGGATCTTGAGTTTTACTTGCTTATCTGTTTTTCGTAATTTTTCCGCAAGTCGTTTTTTATTATTTCTCACAGCTATTGAAAAAAAAAAAAAAAAAAAAAAGAATCCATGGCCGTTAGGCACCCACACCATCTCCCTCGTTCAGGGGCTAGAGATCAGCAGCAGCTTGCGACAGCGAGAGCGAACCAATCGGATCCCACCTAGTTTCCCTTCTCGGAACAGCTCGCTCCTCCGGGGTACCCGCCGGACCGGGGGTGTCTGGTACGGGCGTTTGTTCGGGGCGGAGCAGGCGGGGCCGCGCCGGTCCTCATTTACCGTTCCTTTCGCAAACCTTCAAGACACACCTGCACCTGCATCTATCTCGTGCCGCAGGTAAATTGGTTTCAAATCTCGTTTCTTCGCTTCTCGTGTCGCCGGCTAGCCGCGGGACGACCCGCCACCAGCCCTCTGATCCTCAGCAACCATCAACGGACCACGCCAGCAAACCAGCCCACCAAGCACCATTCTCCGCAATCGGCACCTCCGATCCCGATGCGGGGTCTTCTCTCCCGAAGCCCGGCGCAGTCGCCGTCACCGTCACGCAAACCGCAGCTCGCTATCTAGCCTATCTGCGCAGTACTCAAATACCGATTGCCCGTCCTGCGATGCATTATCCCTGGGATGCGTTCCCGTTAAGCCCGCCTTTGGGGAAAAAGACCACCAAAAACTGAAATCAAATCTATCGCTTGATTTAACCGAATATTCTACCCGGGCAGAATATAACTAAGGAAACCAATCCGTCAGAGGCAGAATTCCTCCAGGATGCAACATTTTTAACGTGCAGTGTGTGATTTGGCAGAGAAAGCATATCAAGCCCTCCCGTAGCTGATCATCGGGTTCCGTATCCGATCCCCTCCTCCAGCCAATATGAGAACCTTCAGGATCATCCCTGCTCCGCATTGCTCACGTCAAAAAAGCCAAACCCCAGGCATTGGATAAGCTTTGCCCGCTGCGTGAACCAAACCCCGATCGACGACTGACCCTCCAAACTCTCAACCAACCTCACACCGACATCACCGCCCAAAGTGCCATCTGTCTGTGACTAGCTTCCAATCGCATATACCACACCATTCCATATCAATTCAATTGTAACCCGTAACGCCAACGGCACTCTCCTCCTTAATACTGTCTACACAATGGAGATCAAGGCCCTAAACGTCTACCCAATCAAAGCCCTCCGCCCGGTCCCCCTCACCTCCGCGATCCTCACCCCGCAAGGCATCCTCCACGACAGGACCTACATGCTCTTCAAAGTAAACGAAGACTCCTCTCTGCGGAAGCTCCAATTATCATCCTGTCCCCAAACAGCGCTCTTCTCCCAGGAGATCGTGTCCAGCACCGAAGCCTCCTCAGACACCGATGACGGCACCGGCGACACAATCCTCGTGAAGTACCACATCCCCTCGCCGCCCCTCGTCCCCCACGACCCCCTCCAAGAAACAACCCTCTCCGTGCCCCTCGTCCCAGACACCGCGGCCCTCGCCCCGATCCAAATCGACCTCCACGGCTCACCCGCCGACGCCCTCCGCATGGGCGACCCCTACGACGCCTTCTTCTCTGCCTGTCTCGGCTTCCCCACAATCCTGGTCCACATCGGCTCCGGACGCCGCCCCGTCCTCGGCACCCTCGCCCCGGGCTCTGCCTCCTCTCCTCAAACATCAACGTCGTCGTCCCTCTTCTCGTCCATCACATCGTACCTCCCCTCCTTCTCCTCCCCGTCCAACGCCCAAAAGCCGTGGCTAACATTCACCGACTGCGCCCCGTATCTAATCACATCCTCCTCCTCCCTTACCCACCCCTCCCTCACATCCTTCTCCTCCATCACCAACACCCCAACCCCGTCGATAATGTCAAAAATGCGCCCCAACATCGTCGTCCACGACCCCTCCGAGCCCCCCTTCGCCGAAGACTTCTGGGCCGAGCTCTCCCTCCCGTCCTCCTCCGGCGCAAAGCTCCTCCTGACCGCGAACTGCGGCCGCTGCGCCTCCCTCAACGTCGACTACGCCACCGGCCGCCCCGCCGCCGGGCCCGAGGGCAAGCTCCTCAACGCGCTCATGAAGGAGCGCCGCGTCGACCCGGGCCACAAGTACGCGCCCGTCTTTGGCCGGTACGCCTTCCTAGACGTCGGCGGAGCAGACGCAGGGCCCACCCTCGGGATCCGCGTCCGGGTCGGGGATGAAGTCGCGGTGACCCGCCGCAACGCCGAGCGCACCGTCTTCGACTGGCCGCTTGGCTCCGCCGCGCCGAAGAAGGCTAACAACACCGTGGCGGTTGCGTGATATCAAAGAAGCAGCCGTGTAGCTCCTTCTCTTCTCACTCACACCTGATGCGTATTTGCTGCATTTCACATGTACGTGTGTGTCACTCAGAAGCTCTCAGTAGACCCTTCACTTTGATGCCGTTGTATCGTCGGAACATCATAGGCAGATTTCCTTCCTCTCCATGCAGAACAGAGTAGCATCCTAGAGGGGGGGTATGCTTCTTTCAATGGGAAAAAGTTAGCAAATGAAAATAGACCAAGAAAAAAGAACGTTTCTGCCATTGCATATAGCGGTCGTTTTTCTCTTGTGTAACCACGGCACGAGCATGTGTCTATGGTGTCATCTCCTGATTTACATGATCATGGTGAAGCCACCACCATCATCATTCCACGCAGTGCAGGACCAAGAACATGCACATTTCAGCCGCATGATGACTAAAGTCCGTCCGCCACCACTTCCCGCGATCATCATCAGCCGCTGCTCTCCTCACCGGCTGCTCCATCGCCCCCAATCGCCATGGTTCACCCATTATACTTGCTAGTCCTTCACCCTTCACCCCGTTCCTCATGAGAAAGACCCACTAGAAAGAAAACGATGTGCCACTGGCTGAGAAGAAACAACAACCACGATGCAGCTTACGCCCGCCACCTCCTGCAGCATCACCATCATCATCCCATCACAGCACATCTTCCTCCGAGATCTCACGTGTGGCCCCGTGAGCGTCATAACCACGCACACAGATCAAAAACACATCTCTCTGCCTCATTTCCCAACAAAAAAGCAAATAAAGCAGCCCTAAAAGGAGGCTCCTCGTGAGGCCCGTCTTGAACCTGCACATCATCCACGTCGCGCCGCGTAACGAACCACCCATGTTCCCCGACCAAACAGATTTCCCTGATCGTCGGATGCGTGATAGGCGGCGGGGAGGGGCGTACATACACTCTCTCATGCAGCGGCCCGTCCACGACTACTTCCCCGAGGCGACACAAACGAAAGGAAAGGAAAAGAAAAAAGGAAAAAGCCACACACTATTTCCCATAATGCCAAAGACCTTCATCTCTGTGCCTTCTTTCCCCACGGGCCCAACGGCCTGGACACACAGAATACAACGACACACGCCTCTCTCCCGGTGTAAGCCTCATCTTCCCGCCCCGTTCTTCCATTCGCCAACCTCTCGCCAGCCCGCAGCAAGAGGAAGCGCATGATCGTGGCGAGCTGCGATTACGCCCCCTTCTGTGCCGGATCGTGCTGAGAGACAGACGCCCACCACCACCAACAAACCGCCGCTGCGGGACCTGACAGCGAAGGGAGTGGAGGGGAAAAATAGACCGAGACAAGGCGTGAGTTACACGGCATCGCCCTCGCGTAAATCCTCGCTCGGAGAGAATCGAAGAAGAAAAACGGGGAGGTGCTCCTTCCCGCCGCTGCCAGATGTCATGCCACGCTCTTGTGCTACCCAAACCCCGGATCTTCGTGTCACGGAACACACACACACACTCACACACAGAAAGGATTCGTTCATTTGCAGCCTCAAACAGACCCTCGACGTCCACCTTGACCGGCCTTTACACCTGTCAGAAGCATCTGTCCGGTTTCGCAAAAGGGCCGAGGGCCCCCGGGTCAGTTGCACACCGCCGGACGTCAACGACGCGATACCGGCGCCGGGACACGGGATAGGAGTAACACCGAACTTCACCGGCGATACCATCCGCGCCTCGGGATGACATGAGTTGAACGTGAGTAATCATGAGATGTCGCGCTTTGGAAATTGTTTGGCCCTTTGCGCTGTTTCATTTTGGACCGCTGTTCCGTCCAGACCCACGACGCTACAAATGCTAAACCAACCGGACGCCATGCCGTGCCGCCCTCGTCACCGCGGATCCAATGCCAAACCGAGGCGCGAGGAGAAGGGGCCTGTGATATGAACGCTTCCTTCAGTGGAAAGGGGGGGGGGGGGGCGGACAACGTGACAAATGACCAAGGACAACATGCGCGCGCAAAACGGTGAACGGTAAGAATACTGCAATGAGGGAGAGGAAAAAAGAAAGCTCAAAATTGACAGGTAACCGCCCTTCCAGCCCATCAGCCTTGCGTGCTGTCGTGACTTGTTCTAAAGCCCAAATTTTTTCTTCTGTTTGCCATGCTCCGTGAAACCGTTCCCTGTAAACCCAAAGTCTATTGTTAGAGGAAGAAACCCTTCCCGCCTTCGCTCGCCTCCTCGCTCCTAACCCCGCCAACCACTGATGAAAACTTGCCGGCAAACGACTGTGCGCCGTAGAGAAAAAGGGGTATTGGGTATTACGTGGCCGAATAAAACTCCGTAAGGAAAAAAAGAAGACGCTTGGCCGAGAGGAATTCGGCGGCGGCGACGGTAAGAAGACCGAGGAAAAAGACGAGAGCTGTGGACGAGGTCTGCTCCCTGTTGATCTGTGCCTGTCGGTTCTAGGCTCCGTCCGGCGTTGTCGTATCGGGGAATACTGATGCGTATCCCGTGGAGGCGGCCCAGTCAGGCACAGAATTCGAGGGCATCATGGCACAGGGGCGTGGCGTTGACAGGCGGTCCCTGTGGGCGGGCGGGATGCGCTCCTCGCCGGAGCCCTGTGCCTGCAGCCAGCTGCAAAGGTGCCTGAGCCAGAGGGTCCCACGTGCGCTATGCAGCACCGAAATTTGGCACCATTGCGCTAAACCACGCCAGGATAGAACACCCTGAACACCCTGCCAGGGGAGCCAAGGGGCAGGGGTGGCGGAGGTCAACGGACATCCAAGTTGACGGGAGCTTCTAGACGGTCCGGGGAGGGTTGCAAACGGAGAGGTCGAAAAAAGTCAAAATTCGAAAAGGGAAAGAGTTGCATCCTCGTGGAAGGCGTCGCGGGCGCCCTGTGGTGAAAGGGGGAGAAATTTGAAAGAAGCAGCCGATATCGTCCGATCCAAGCGGTCCTGTCATTGCATGCCATTGATTGGTATCGATCGCCATCCAGGGCGCTTCTTAGTTGCATGCGTATTGCCATGCCCTGTTTGAGGGCAGAGCACCGCCGTCATGAGGAAAATGAGTAGTCGTATCAACGGGGTTGCTACCTTGGACTGTGTTAGCAGGTGGTATTCAGCAAATGGCGTCACTGCATCCCGTTTGTATCCCAGCGGCTCCACTTCGGCCTTGAAACGACAGGGACGTGATGGAAGGGAAAGGAGAGGAGGCGCGGAAAGCAGAGGCACAGACAGGGCCGGCCTGGAGGGAGGATAGGAGAGGGCAGGCAGATCAGAGCAGAGGGCGGCGGGAATGGCAGCTTCTGTGTAAAGTAGAAAACCAGCCAGCCACAAGCATTCTGTCTGTTTCTGAGCGATGGGATTGTGATCGGGATCGGGTAGGGCGAGACCTGTCTCTGGTGGACGGTGATGGGAGGGAGTGTGCGTCATCAGAAGCAGCCAAAATCTCTTCCATCTGAGACGAGGAGCTTCATGGTGGGCGCATGTCTTTGAACATACCTCTGGAGCATCCAATGCAAAACCCCCACGTCGCCATCGTGCATCTCTGCCCCTCACGGTGAGCGCCCTCGAATTCGGTGTTGGTGTGGTTTGGGGCTCGGTTCGGTGGCTGCACCGGCAGTCGATGCACTGGCGCAGCGTGCATTCTCAAGCGCTCTGCGTACACGCACGACAGGTGTGGATTTTGCAGTAGCGACACTCGAAGATCCACCAATGCGGACCGGAGTGGCAGAGGTTGCAAGTCCATTGAATCAGAGTGCTGTCGGACTTGATCATCTTGAAAGAATGCGCGCAGGCGCTAGCAACGGCCATGGTGAAGGAGAGTGTGTTGACGGAACTCGGTGAGGTGAGGTGGTGTAAGGTGGTACAGACGTACTGCAGACTGAGCTGAATTGAGGTGATGTGCGGTGCTTGGGAGGGCGGAGAGATTCTCAAAGTGGTGCGCTTGCTGAACGTGCGCTGATGGTAGTAGATGCCGGCGGTGCCCTGTGCGGTTGGCGTGCGGCAGGTGGGAAACGGAAGGTGGTAGGCGGCGTTGGTGTCTGGAAAGCCGTTTGTTTGGAGACGGACAGTGCAGTTGGCCGTTGGCGGTTTTTAGCTGTCGGGGAAGCTACTGGAGCTATGGATTTCTCGATTGCAGAAGCCGATGGGAAAGCAGCAGTGTAGTGTCTCGAAAAGGTGGTGGTTTCCCCCTCGTGTTCTAGAAAGCGAGTCAGCCCCGGTCAAGCATCTCCTGATATTATAGGTGGTGCGGGTATATAAAGTTTATGGACCTTGCAAGCCCAACTTACCGAGGTTGAAAGGAAGAGCTCAAAGCACACGCGAGTGTCTGGACAGAAGGAGGTCGAGTTATTGACAGGGCCTCCAGAGGAATTGTTGCAGAGATAAAGAAAAAGGGAGGTGGAAAAAATGGCTGATTGTGGATGTGGAAGCAGCAGTTCCTTTGTATGGGACGACCGGCAGAGTTTGGGTTTGGCGGCGGGAGAAGTAAGGTTTGGGTAGCTTGCGCATTGGTGAAGGTGGCATAAAACCCAAGCGTGCCTTACGGCAAGAATTTCAGACGGGCAGGAAGGTGTCAAACCGGGAAGTTACCCGTCGAACTTGCTTCATCTTCCTTGAGGTACCTCAACTCATGGAAGGTGCTGGGTATCAAGAAGGTAGGAACGGCTAAGGTAAGGTACCTAGGTTTGAAGACAGGAAGGAAGGAAGGGACGTAGGTACGTGGGCAAGGAAGGCAGGAACCACGAAAACTCAGATACGGCAAGGGAAGGTGAGCCGGGCAGGGAAGGAGGGAGTTGGGTTTGGGCTGGGTAAAAACACAACACGAGAGAGTCTCTACCTACCTAAGGTAATGGAACTCAGACTCCCAGCTGTCGTCCGGTGATGTGCCCGAAAATCACTTCAGGTCAGACCAGACCAGACCAGGCCAGTTCAGGCCAGCTTCAGGTACTTGGTGATGAGATGCGAATTCTCAGATCGAACCGCAGTTGCAGTATGATGTAAGGTGTGACTGTTGCTGTTGCTGCTACTGCAAGCCCTGGTGTATTTGCTTCTTGCAAGCCACCAATGCAAGGCAAGGCAAGGTAGACAAGTGCAGGATGTAAAAGGACGGCAGGCGTGGATGCGGTGTGACGGCCGAACCAACCAAGACGCAGATTGCTATTTGGGGGGCAGCAGAGTTGAGGGAGAGCTTAATGTGCAATGGGCTGAGGCAAGGTGAGGTGAGGTGTAATGACGATGTACGATGCGTGAGAGAGATGGAGAGATGCAATGCAACACGGCCGACGCCCGCACTCCCTCGGATGGTCCTGAAGCACCTTTTATGGTCTGCGAGAACAGACGGCCCTCGCTCGTCCAGACGACCAGACGAAATCTGGTTTGCAAGGTATCAACAAGTCCCCGTCCGTTGCTTCTGGGGTCTTCAAACTCTGTTCTCAAGACTCTGGGTAGTGCCGTTTGCCTTCACCCGTTGTGGAGCTCCTCGAGCGGGAACGTCGGGTTGCCGATTGTCCAGTTTCGTTGATTTAGGGCTGCAAAAGACGTGCTGTCAAACCGTGCTTGTCGACCACGAATTATGACGGGACGGACAACTGTGTGAGGCGCCCCCGGAAGCCAACCGTGTCTCCCTCCACAAAAATATATTCGACACCAGGAAAAGATGGCCGCTCTAGATTCCACCCTAGGTTCCTGCCGTCGACGGTTGTGAGGTAGTTCAGAGGATCCGCGAGGCAATCGGCAGACGTGGTAGTACAAAAGCCAAAGGTACCGGGCGCTAGTAGGAAAACAGGTGAGCAGTGTTCAGATCGTAGCTTGTGCTCAGCGAGAGACCAGACCACCTTCTCGTCTTATCACATTGGATCTTCTCCAACTGCGCCGCGCCAGAACATGCCGATATGTACCTGTCAACCGACCCAACAAACCCGTCATCTCGGCCCTTCCACCACTTCACTCTTCCGCTCGTTTCAATGGCCCTTCTCTGGCATGGATCTCATGCCCAATGCCTATTTGACGAACCGTCCAAGCCCGGTCCGTCTTGTCTTCAGCCAATTTGCCCGCACGTTGGGTTCCTGGCGTCGTCCAAGGTACCTGGACCATTTCCATCCACATCTCCCGGCAGCCCTGAAAGGGAAAGCCAACGGCGGGATGGATGATGGATGGTGCCCGCTCGCTCGTGGCCACATGTCTTGGACGGCCCAGGTCAACTCCGCCGTCCACGCCTGTCTCACTTTGCCCTCCTCCTGGGTAAGGTCTTGAACCGTAATGACGAAGATTGCTCATGATGCCTGCTAGTGCTAGACGGCCGAATGCCGACGCCCCCCTTCCCATGCCATGCCGTGTTACGGCCCACAACTCGCGGTCCACACGCGGCGCGGCAGCAAGGGACCTCAATGACAAGACCGAATGATAGGGCAGATCCATAATGCTCTCCTGCATCCATGTGCTCTTGCTGGCTAACAGACCGCATCATGTTGCATGGACCCTCGTGTTGTAAGTCACCTCGCGGATGCACATCCTCTTCCGCTACGCTCTTTTGGCCCCTCACGGCAAGGGTCTGGGGTCTGCCTCCATTCTTGCACCAATGTAGATCGTGAACTTCCAAGTCGTGGCAGCTGCCGCTCACCAAGTGCACTCTCGTATCAGATCATGCCTTGGTTTTTTCTGCTCGGCTCAACCTCGCTAGGCTTTCTGTCCAGATCCCAACACCCAGGTCGCCGGAGGTTTCTCTGCAAGCAGCAAGTGATCTGGCTTGCGGCCTCGTGGCTTTGATTGTTGTTCAGTATCGATCTACGTGAGAGCCGCAACCCAATTCTTTTTGGAAAGCCTTTTTATGACGCTGTGCCATACGCGGGCAACTTTTAATCCGGATTGCTCTCAAAGCACATCGCTATGCCCCGCTTCACCCTCACGTTATCAGGCATCTGGCTCCTCAAGACCTAGCCTGCCAGGCTATATTTGTCCATGGTTGGAGGGATTGGTCCAAATAGTGTCTGTTTGACTTTTGGAAGGGGAACTGATCCGGCGGCAAGGTTGCGTGGCGCGGGTCAAATTTCTGACATGTAACAGAGGGCCCAAAAGTCCATGCTTTTTCTCCACGCTGCTGGTAGCTGTCAGTTCTTAGTAACAAACGACGGAAATAGAGTCGTAAATCGAAACGCTCCCCCTTCGCAGACTACCCGCTGATCAAAGTCCGGGGCAAGAGAACACTCAGATGCTCGAGTAATTTGTCCATGAAGAAATCACCCATGGCCCCGCTGATGTTGGAAGTGGATCATGTACCTTACGGTACGACCGGGCCTCCGGATGTACCGTCCCAGTCATGGTGCCAAGTCTGTCCAGTCAAGTGTGCGCTGAGGGCAACGGGCACTGAGAGCGGCCGTCCACGCGGGATTCTCGAACGAACCTGGTTTTCCGCTGCGCAAGCGTCAGTGTGACGGTGTAGCTTTCCGACGACGAGTCTGGGCTGTTGCGAACCTCTGATGCGGCTCATGATGCAACGTCGACAGGCCGCTAAATGGGCAGAATATCTACAATATCATTCCCTTGTCCGCTCATGCCAGCGGCCCTGGGGGTCTCGATGGAGTATGTTTCCCATCTTGCTCTCTAAGTCCGAAGCTCGCTCGTATGCGGCGATGCTGCATGTATTCGTACTTCAAGGCGCTCTGGAGAGCGCCCAAGTTGCGCAATCCATGTGCGGGGAGCACCCCAGCCAAGACCCAGAGACAGGCGTGTTGCAAGCGAAGCGACTTCCTGTATCCGTACCAGGATGCCATAGTGCTGGCATATTTTGGCAAAAAGAGAGGCAGCGGATGAAGGGCTGTACAGCCGACGATGCCTGCTTGCCGTGTCTACCCATGTTGCTCACTTTCTTCCAGAAGACAGCACAGCTGTCAAGCGAAAATCTTGCTTCGTGCAAGGCGTATCAAGAGGCGGTACTTAATATCCTCAAGTTAAGGACATGGAAAAGAGGTCGTGAGCATGGCCGTTGAGCCTTGACCGCATCGAGGTAAAGCCGCAGGTTTTTGCAGGGGATACGGGGCCGCCCATCCATTTCGTGGCAGATCCTCTTTTTCTTTTTCCTTTTCCTTCCCTTTCCTACGCAACCTACATCCTTCCCCTCCCACCTTTGCTTGACGAGCCAGACCAGATCGCGCGCATCCAGTACCCGGAGTAAGGCTACGCGGGGAAATGATCGGGGGGCTTTGATTGGAAGTTGTCTGGTTGACGAGTTGATTGACACCATATTCCAAGGTGAGCAAGTTGTCTGAGGCGACGACGCGATAGTACGGTTGCGATGGATGCAAATCTGTGACCTTAGCGCAGCCGACGGCCGGCACGTCGTTCGTCGAGATCCATGTGTCGATGAGTTGATGCGCGCGAATTCAAACACTCGGGAAGGTATTGGCAAGTTGCCGTCGGGCGAACGGTGTTGGAGAGCAGGGGTTGTCTGCGCTTCTGGTCGGCCGCGCGGGCATTGCAACAGCTGGGAGGATAGGCGGGAGCTCAGTGACGGCTGGTGCGGGCACAACCTCCGTTTTGCGACAACCTCGGATACTGAGCGTAGTAGTGGGAACCTCAAATCAACCTCGTAGGAACCCCTCGTCTCGTCATTGGGGGACCGGCTTTTGCCAACAGCTCACATTGCTTTTGTCGAAGAATCGATAAGTACGGATAACAGGCAGCAAGCAGCAGAAGCAGGAGCTGGCTCCGGAGTCTATTCGTAGGGGAAGACAGCCGGTAGCAGTGGGTAACCCTTGTTGAAACAGCTGTCAAGGCTTGCAGGAACCCCATCCGGCACTGGCGCAAACAAATAG